CTCATGGAACAGACTGTAGAAAAGCAATGAAGACATCATCATCTGTGTTGCCAGTGCTAGATTAAAGGACCAGTCTCAAATCCTTCCATCTCTACAGCAAATCCTGCATATTCCTGGCATCTATATTAATGACTTCATTACTAATCTTCCCCAAATCAGCATGCTTACTCCTGTCTTATCACAGGGTCTTCCCTCCAGAATATATCTCACGGTATCCTACTCATCCATCTATATCAAGTGTTAGCCTTTGTCCCTCCTGAAAGTTTTCAAATGTACAAGTATTCAGATCCAAAGGTCTAAATCAAAGGTCTAATTTCTTTTCTCCTTCTGGAGGGAACTGAGTTTTTGTTTGTTTGATAATGGAGATTGAACCCTGGGGCACTTTACCACTGAGCTTTTTATTTTTTATTTTGAAACAGGGTCTCAGTTGCTTAAGGCCTTGCTAGGTTGCTGAGGCTGGCCTCAAACTTGCAATTTTCCTCCTCAGTCTCCAAGGTTGCTCAATTACAAGAGTATGCCACTGTGCTTGGCTCCGGAGGAAACTCTTAAAGCAATGGTGGTTCTCAGCCTGAGTTCCAAAATGGAGAACTTTTTAAAACATACTCTTGTCCAGAGATTCTGATTGAATGGTCTAGGGGGAAATCTTGGTATTAGGATATTTTGACTCTCCCTTGTGATTTTTTTTTTTTTTACCATAAACCATTTATTTCCAAATCTGCTGAAAAAGATACTGTCCAGGTGATGAGATCCCAACCTCTTCACACCCCAACTGCCCTGTAGTCCAAAGTCAGTCTCCTTAGAAAGCTGCTATGCCTCTAAACTTAATCTTGGGCTCAGAGCCTGGCCAACAATTGAGAAAGACCTACCCATTTCCTTCTCCACCATGAACCCAAGACAGTGTAGGCCTAGCTCCAACCAGGTCCAAGGCTGGCCTGGTGTTTATTCAGTTGACTAAGCTCTAAAAAGAAGGGAAGGGTAGGAGCCACAAGCCCCTGACCTAGCCCCACCACAGGTGACTCCCAAGCCACTTCTCCCAGATGGTATAAAGAGCCACTAGGGCCCCAAGCTGCTGCCAAGTGGTCATCACAGTGCAGCCTGCATCCAAGTTGCTCCCCTGGCTGTTCACTGATGCCTCTGAACATAAAGTGCTCTGCCTCCTCATTGTCCTCATCCTCCTGCTAGCTGCTTCAGAGCAGCAGCTCCAGGTCAGGGCTGGAGTCCAGGCCCTTCAGGGGTTTATATCCACCATCACCTCTGGAGTGTACTGCTTTGAGGGCAATATGRAGGGATATTCCCAAGAGGCAGAGGGCAAAGCCCAGCCAATTCAAGAGGCTAGTCTGATCACCCAGCAGGTGTGCTGCCAGCAGCAAAGTGCAGACTTTCTTAAAAATGCCAGCAATGGAAAGAGTGAGGCTGGAGGTTCTGGAAGCCAGGGGAACTCAGAGAAACCCAAACTGAAGGTGAGAATCCTACCAAAGGAGAGACTCCCAAGTACCCATAGGAGCAGCCCTATATCCTTCAAATATGGCAAAAAGAGGGAAAAAGCATCAGAAACATGGTGGCTGCTGGTGGAACATGGTATTGATGGGGTTCTGTAGGCCCAGCTCAGCCTTCTGTAGGAGCATCTGGGTGAAGGTCCAGTGAATTCCACTGATGAATGAGGTCCCCAGTATCAGGGCGAAGTTTTCCATGTTGAAACTGGATGGACTTGTAGATGAACATGAAAAGGCTTCCCAACAATGAGGAGAACCACCAGGACCAGTGCTGCACTCAGCTCCCTTCTCCATCTTGAAGATCAAAGAGAAGTTCAAGATGAATAGCACAGCGGAGAACTCGGTCATGGTGTATAGAAGAGGCTGGAGACTTCTTGGAAAGCTGCTGGGAGCCAGGGAGGAGCTGAGAGCAAGGGCTGGTCCCAGAAAGTGATGGAGTAACTGGCCCATTGGCCAGGTGCACAGACAGCAGCTAGACAGACAAAGAGCTTGGCCTTCAGGGAAGCAGCAGGGCGTAGTCGGTACTCACAGTGAGATGGTGACAGAGGAAACTCCAGTTGGACGAGCCCGCATCAAGTGTGGTTGCCAGTGCTATAGGGGCCACTGTTCTGAGGTAGTTGGTCCAGCTCAACACTACACAGGCCCTATGGCTGGAGCACTGAACCAGTGCCCTGGACAGGGCAGAAAAGAAGAAGATCACAGCCAGGGGGATCATTGTCATAAAGAGGGGGAAGTGAAAGCTCTTTGTCAGCCATTTGTTGCAGAAGGTAATGCCAATGAGGAGCAGTAGTAGAAAAGGACCAGCCCCAGAGTCAACCCTGCCTTCCATACAAAACCACGTCAAGGGCCCACTTCCCCATCTGTGGAGGCTGCAATGCCCTTGCTCCTGGGCCATAAGAGACAGGCACCTTTCTCGAAGACAGCCCTCAGAAAGAGCAGCAGCTGGACCATGACTTTCAACAAGCAGCTGCCCTAGCTGGAAGGGTTCTCTTTGCCTCTGTAGGGTTTGGAATGGTCAGTGGAGCCCCAGATGGAGTCCTAACCTATAGCGCTGGTGGCCTAGGCCAACACGTTCCATGGTTAGCTGGATGCTAACCATGGACCCTAGTTCTACTGCTCCACCAGGGTGCTCCCAGCCAGGCTCCCTCGTTATTCTAACATGCAAGAAAGGTAGAGAATTTGTCTTAAGGCTCTCTAAATAAAGATGGACCTATGTCCATAGAGCATCCACAATTCATTGGGTAGGTGAAGTGCATAAATGTGGCAGGAGGCTGAGAGAAGAAACTCATTTTTTAAAAAAATATTTTTTAGTTGTAGATGGAGACAATATCTTTGTTTATTATTTTTATGTGATGCTGAGGATCGAACCCAGTGCCTCATGTGTGCGAGGCAAGTACTTTACCACTGAGCCACAACACCAGCCCCAAGAAACTAATTTTTTATCATATACTATATACCAAGTTCTATGTGAGAAACTCATGTACTCTTTCTAATAGYACCTTATTTTAAATGTCATAATAATAATAATATGTGATAAGAACTGTTATCCTTATTTTACAATCAGGGAAACTGAGGCTCTGAGAGCTCACACAGAATGACTGGCAAACTCAAAAATCAAACCCCAGGCTGGGCACAGTGGTGCATGCCTATCATCCYAGTGGCTCAGGAGGTTAAGACAGGAGGATCGTAAGTTTGAAGCCAGCCTCAGTAACTTAGTGAAGCCCTAAGCAATTTAGCGAGGCCCTGTCTCAAAATTTAAAATAATAATAACAAAAGGGCTAGGAATGTGGCTCAGTGGTTAAGTGCCCTGGGTTCAATCCCTGGTACTAAAAATAAAATTAAAAAAAAATAAAACCCCATTTGGCTCCCAGTCTACACACTTCCTAAGACAACATACTTAGATATCATGCCTCAGAGATGGATGATCCCAATCAATAAAGTCCAGAAATACTATTCTATTACATCCATGGGTTTTCTTCCTGCAGCATTTTCCTATGAATTTCACATATGTAACCCAGCTACCAGGATATACTCTAAGCTGCCAAAATAAAGTGAAGTGCTCTAGGAGAACTACTTGGTAGGAAACTACTCTGGCTGCTGCTGCTGCTGCTGCTGCTGCTGCTTCTTTTTTCTTTTTTTTTTTTTTTTAAGTCTTTTGATACAGAGTCTCAATATGCTGCCCAGAATGGCCTCAAATTCCTGGGATAAACAAATCCTCCTATTTCAGCCTTCTGAGTAGCTAGAACTAAAGGCATGTACCACCAGGCTTGGATTCCATATCTGGCTTTTTATTAAATACTTCCATTTTATATATTCATACCTACATTCTTCTCCATCATAGTTAGCTTCAGTCCTGTAGTTTATCATATTTAATGTTCTTACAGATGAAGAACTTTACCTATCAGCCATTCCTTTGTTGGGCCTAGAAAAATTATGAATTCCATAAGCATTCTTCTGCCTTAGACTCCAGAYAGTACACAAAGAATCAAAAGATAGTCATGCTGGGTGAGGTGGCACACATCTGTAATCCCAGCTACTCAGGAGTCTCAGGCAGGAGCATTGCTTGAGACTATGATTTTGGGGCCAGCCTGAGCAACATACTGAGACCCCATCACAATATATAGATTTGCAGAGATACACATTCATGTTTGTATACACACACACACACACACACACACACACACAAAGTCAGCTCTCTGCATCCATGGATTCCACATCTTCAGACTGAACCAACAGATTGAAAATATTTGAAAAAAATTTGCATCTGTGCTGACAGTAGCAAATGTACAGACAGTAGTCTTGTCATTCATTATTCCTTGAACAATACAGTATAACATCTATTTACATAGCATTCAGGCTGATTTAGTATTATAAGTAATCTAGAGATGATTTAAAGTTTACAGGAAGACATGCATAGATTATATGCAAATGCTTTTGTCATATTATGTGAGGGACTTGAGCAATGTGGATTTCAGCATTCCTGAGTGGTCCTGGAAGCAATACCCTGGGATACTGAGGATGACTCTCCAGGCTAAGCTACATAGAACTGTTCCCAATAGCAAGGTGGACCTCTGGGAAGTTATTGGCTAGACGTATATAATTCTGTAACGTGCCAGCAACACATCTGAGTAAGTGGTAGCTAAATTCCATCTTTTTTTTTTGGGGGGGGGGGCGGCGGGGGGCAGGGAGATGGGGAGGGTTGAATTCATGGACATGTTCACTGAGCCACATCCCCAGCCCTATTTTTTCATTTTATTTAGAGACAGAGTCTCACTGAGTTGCTCAGTCCCTCGCTTTTGCTGAGGCTGGCTTTGAACTTGTGATCCTCCTGCCTCAGCCTTCCAAGCCACTGTGATAGAAGCATGAGCCACTGTGCTCGACTTAAATTCCACCTTTCATTACACGAAATCTACACTTCATTCTGGCTGAAGGGTAGAGTTAGTAGGAGGTGGCAGAGCCAGGGGACTCCATTAGAAAGAGGAAGGCACTTTGGATGTTATATAGTACCTTTAAGATGTCGCTGGGCAAAATCCAGTGCTTGAGCAGGTGTTCCAAGTATCCTGAGAGAGAAAGAGGCCAGATTAGTGAGAAGTCTCACAACAGTTCCTAAATTCCTACTCCTGTTGGTATCTCAACTGTTCTACTCAGTCCCAATCTCAGTCCTTGCTCAGGATTTAGGGCTTTTAGAGTCTCCCTTGCTTCACTCTCTTAGGGACATTCCCATTTCTACTTGATACATCATGGACTAAATGTGTGGCATTTCTGCCTTTTTTGTTTATAAACATGCATAAACATTTTAAGAAAAACTTCCTCTACTGCCAGCAGTTCTTCCTAGCCTCACTTCTCAGGTATGCTATTTACTCTCTTTATTTACCTCAAAAATTCTTTGGTTCTTCCCACTGCATTACCTTAGTTCACACATCTTTATCACAATCTTCAGGGGAAAAAAATTCTTTCGTCCCTCGGAATCATTCCTTTATGGCGCTCCCAGAGTTATGTTTCCAAACACATAAACTCATCGCTCTTATTTAAAAACCTTGACGGGCTCTGTCCCACTCCCGCTCCTTTGGCACTGGGTTTGCTGAAACCTCTGAATCCACGGCCAACACACAGATAGAAAGAAGGGACCACCATACAACCAAATGGAGTTTTAGCTAAAACTTTCGAACAATGTAGTGTTGTGTACTTGAATCCACGGTATCAACGTGACGGATATTCTCAAGCGTCCAGTTTGGCTGCCAATTACCAGGCAGAAAGTTTTGAAATGTTTGCGCGCTAAAAGTCAAACGCATGCGCAAACTGCCACAGACTGTGTGGGCGGGGTGTGTGGGGGGGAGAAACGTCCGCCTCCCCGCAGCAGATCTCGCGTTGTTTGGCGTAGGCCAGAGCGCGGAGAAGTTCTATGTGGCGCTTCGAGGCCCGCCCCACCCCGCCCCGCCTCCCACATCCCCAGAGCTGTAGTGCGGTGGTCAACAAAGTCAGCGAGGGAACGGTGGAGGCTTCTGTGACTACCCCGGAGGCTAGCGGCACTTTCTCAGCGGCTGAGGAATTCTGCGCACAGCCTCTCTGTGAGGCTCTGGAGGCCGCACAACCAGTTTTTTAGAAATAAGAGCTAAAAAAAAAAAAAGTGAAATACAAAAAATCTGGATAACTTATCGCCCTAAGACGCAGTGATTTGTTTAGCTTTTTCTCACTATACCGAAAATCCCTTTAAGCTACCAAGCACGTACCACTGCGCCTGCGCAGCGATGTGTTTACCAACCAGCAAAGAGCTGGGTCGCGCTTCCCGCCGCTGGGAGCACCTTCGTTTGCTGCCGTGACGTGTAATTCGTAATGAAAATCATGTTTTCTTCTGGAAACACGGACCGGAGGCTTAAAACAGGACAGTTGAAGTGTAACAGCTCGAAAGCAGTGAAAATAAGAATGGTCAAGGAAACTGAACACCCAGAAATCGGTGCCATGTCAGAGMTGTCGTGGAAGATGTTTATAATGAACGAAACATGATAGCCACTTTAATCATAACCAAGAATTAAGCAGCAACAAAAAACCAAATGCATAGGGTAGCATTTAGCTATCTATTTAAAATATGGGCTCTGCAATGGTAAAAATGCAAGTAAGCCTAAAGCTAAGGCCACGTTGGTCAAACAAACCTTGAGCATGATTCCTGCATGATTAAGACGGATTCAAGCAAAGTCAAGAAGGCGATCATGCAAATTTTGAAACCAAAAAGAGGTGACTCTAGAAACATTAGCCAAAAAAAGCACAAACCAACAAGCTAATTTTAAAAATGGTTTGAAGTTCCCTTCAAAGTCAGTTTCAGAGGGCTTAGAACACAATGATGCTTTTAAAATGAGATCTGGTGAAACTGTTTTAGAKGTGACTGGCTCCATTTGAAAACAAAGAGACAGGAAAGTACTTTATGAAAGGATTTCTAATGATGAATTTTAATATGCTCAAAAAAATATTAAATAACTAGTAGCTTCAGCAAAACCTTGATCTTAAGAATTGGATAAAAACATGGATGTTAATAACTTGGCAAGTTTATTAGATTCTGTTATGTTTTCAAAGACAAATTTGAAGATTTTAATTTGTAACAAGACGTTTGCTACAAGGAAAGTGAGTTTTTCAGTAACATGAAAGTAAGTAGAGAAAATGTATGCACATGTGAGTAGATGGGGACAAATTTAGAAGACTGCATGTTTCCAGGAGCAGTCACAGAGAAGCCATGATCTCAAAAAGTTATTCTCTGGATTTTCTTATTATGTTTGATAWGATAGCAAAATTTAGTAAATCTAGTAGTTTTAAAACCTAACTTTTAACAAACATTTGTATCCAAATGGAAATTAACTTTAAAATTCTGCTCCATTTTCTAGAATGGCTGACTTGGTTGAGGTAAGATGATAACCAGTTTTTCAAGCCAGTATTGAACTGACATTTTCTTCATGAAGGAGAAGTGCAATTAAGGCTAATGAATTTCTAGTTTACCTTCATAATTAAGACTGACTCAGAGGGCTTACTTAGTCAAGACAAACAACTATCTTAAGACAAGCTGAATGCTTTTATTGCACATGATTAAATAGTTCTAATGAAAATTAGGTATGGGGGTTGAATAAAGAATTGATAAAAAAYTGAGAGTCCTTTGAGACTCCTATTTTATTTACATGACGAATTATAGTGTAAGACTGGTAAGTGGTCAAATGAAGCATATTTCTTTACTGAAAAAAATACTCCTTTGATGAATAAAAGAAGTAACTAGTTGATTGGATATCCATTTACTGTAAAACTCAAGAAATATGCTTACCAAAATTTTCACAATCAGTAGCTGAAAATGTTAACCATATCATTTCTTTAGCCAGCATTCTGGGCTGGTCCCCTATAATTACCCTGACATTGTAAAGTAGTGAAAAATGACTCCATATGTATTTATATATTTAGGTAAATAAATCTGGGTTCTTGAATTATTATGACCCCCAAACAAATAAGAGAATTGCTCAACAATGAATCTGATATGCACTCTTAATTACCCAAACTTAGTTGAATCAATACAACATAACCTCACTTACTGAGTAATAGGACATTCTTTTTTCATGGTAGATAAAGCATTAAAAAAATCTAAGCACACAGATTAGGACCAAATTGCAGTGCTTGTATAAGAATAAGTATTAATAAACATGGGACATCAAAGAAATTTTGCTGTTGCTTTTAGCTCTACTCTCTCTTAAGTATTAGGGGTAATTCTGTACTCTTGTCATACCTAAAGAAAGAATATCAGAGGAAAGAGAATCTTCAGCAAAGGAGGGAAATGGGAGAAAGAAGGGCACACTGGTTGTGCCTACTGAAGCAAAGCCCACTGAGAACAACTCTGCTGCTGACTCTCCCTTCTGCTAAAGAACTCTGCCTTTGCCTTCTTCTGTCTCCTGTTTGCATGGCCAGCTTCTTCATTTATTATGTTTCTGATAAGGAAGGATACCTTTCTTTTTTGTTATCTTCAATGTGTTAAAGACACTTGTATGGTCCCAAGACAGTTGCCACACCTCTAAACATCATGTTTCTATATGAAATGTTCCAAACAGAAAGGAAAGTGCATGGGGTATGGGGAGGGTTTCACTTGAGGCATCTGTCTTCCTTTCAGGGCAAAAAAAAAAAAAAAAAAAAAAAAAAAAAAATCTTTTCCAAAGGACTTAATGGACTTCCCTTTACATCTCAGTGCCAGGACATGTATCATATGACTACCTCTAGCTGCAAGGGAAGCTAAGAAAATTTGTACAGGGAAAACAATTATGTTCTTTAAAGTGATACACCAAAAATAACAAAGTTAAGAGCAGACCACTAAAACTTTACATAAAGACTAAAAAAATTACTATGTTAAAAAATACTAAAATAGGGGCTGGGGTTATGGCTCAGTGGCAGAATGCTTGCCAGGACACATGTGAGGCACTGGGTTCAATCCTCAGCACCACATAAAAATAAATAAACAAAAATAGAGATATTGTGTCCATATATAAGTTAAAAAAAATTTTTTTTAAATACTAGAACAGGGGCTGGGGTTGTAGCTCAATGGTAGTAGCACACTCATCTGGCATGTGTGAGGCACTAGGTTCGATCCTCAGCACCATATAAAAATAAATAAATGAAATAAAATAAAGGTATTGTTTCCATTAAAAAATATTAGAACAATTATATTTCCACTGGCATTTGTACTCAATATCTCAGTCATTCTTTATGGCTGTGCTGTTCAAAATAGTGATGACTACCTACATATAGTTATTGAACACTTAAATGTGCTAATCCAAATTAAGATGTGCTGTAAGTATAAAATAAACACTAGATTTCAAGAAATTATTTTGAAAAAAATGAAAAAATATTAATTTTTATATTAATTACAATGTTTAAATGTCATTTCATCTGTTTACTTTGACTTTTTAAAAATATGGCTTCTAGAAAACCTAAATTGTATATTCATATTTCTATCAAACAGTGCTGCTTTAGAATCTTTAATTATGGAGCATGTGCTTCTTTCTTGGACATATATGCAATCAAGGACATTTGGTGCAATTAAAAGCAGATTCACAACTTCGGATATGGCAAAGAGGAGGGAGGAAAAGGGAGGGGGTTTGGGGGTAGGAAGGATGGTAGAATGAGATGGACATCATTACCCTAGGTACCTGTATGAGACATAAATTGTGTGACTCTGCTTTGTGAATAACCAGAGAAATGAAAAATTGTGTTCCATATGTGTACTATGAATTGAAATGCATTCTGCTGTCATGTATAACAAATTAGAACAAATAAATTAATTAATTTATTTAAAAAAACATATTTATCAGAATTTAAAATTTGATCCAGGATTTTGCTCTTTCTCAAATAGTCCCTAGCCACCACCACTACCCAGGAGAAAATGGTTTCACACCTTCAGTAATACTTTCAGCAGTTACCACATTACTCAATGTTGTGAAAAGTGTAAAGGTTTTTGTTGTTGTCCTTGTTGGTGCTGTGGATTGAATCCAGGGCCTTGTGAACATACTCTGCTATTGAGCTACACTCCTAGCCACATGAGTTGGTATTTGAAGCACATCTCCAGTGCTTAAGAAAGTACAACAGAACACTCAGTATAGAATAGTATTAGAATGTTAGACTAAATAAGACAGAGTAGTACTGGTAGATTTTTAAATTTTTATTTTAAGTGATTATGACTAAAACTGTGGTAAATATAGACCTGTGATAAATCTGGATCCAAATAGTGATGACTCATATTTTTAAGACTCTTGTTTTCTAGATCCCTTTCCCTCTTTTCTCAGTGCCTTCTCCCTTTCCTCCTCTATTTTAAACTTCTGTTGCTTTGCTTCTGTGTTTTGATAATCACTCAAAACAGGAAAGCAGTAAGGGATGTTTAACTTTTTTTTTTTTTTAAAGATTTTTTTTTTTAATATTTATTTATTTTTTGGCGGACACAACATCTTTGTATGTGGTGCTGAGGATCGAACCCGGGCCGC